CATATGCAGTAACCTGACTAAACAGTGGAAAAAGGCTAACAAGTCATATAACTGACGTCTTGAGACGTCTTTTGACCATACGTCAACATCCGCCTTTTTAGGGTACCCTTAAACGTCGGTTACATGACGATCCTGGGCCGTCATACAACTGACGCTTTACCTTTAACGTCGGTTAGGTGACGGGGTAGGTTTAGGTCTGGGGTAGGGTTAGGATCCGTTAACGTCATCTAACCGATGTTTAGGGGTACCCTAAAAAGGCGGATGTTGACGTATGGTTAAAACACGTCCAAAGACGTCAGTTATATGACGTCTTGGGATAAGACTGAGCTGAAAAGGCTGTTGTCTTCACTTTGCCAAATAATCAGGAAAACTTCAACATCCATAATGCACTGGGCCTCTAACACCAGTCTGCTATGGATATGCTTGATCAGTCAAAAAACACCTTGCTTTACTTCTTAGCAAACATTTAGTTATAATGGGGTAGACTTATATTTTTTTCCCGGGTCCAAGAATTCAAAGAGCTAAGTTTAGTGGGAGAGAGGTACTCTCGGTTTTTCAGTGAAGGATCCAGCAAAAAATGTTGAAAAACGTTCAAACTTTGGATAAAACGCAGCGCTCATCACTGTCACTTTTTACCCAGCCGTCCAATCACAGCAGAGGAGGGGCGGGACTAAACCACACCGACCAACTGTCACAACGACATCAACCAACAGAGCTAACCGAACAAAATGGATGAAAAGCACATTTTTATTATTATTTTATTACTATGATATTTTGTATCATAGCAACGAAACGTCTCAACGAAAAAAAAATAGCTGCCAAAACGCTCTCAAGCGGCCAAAGCACGCCGTCTTCAGCAGAGCGTCTGGCGTTTTCAGCTGGCTAAAAACGCTTTGGTGGACACACGGCGTAGGGTTCAGTATTTACGTTACTGCTGTTTAAAGGGACAAAGTAAAATACATTGTCAGTGCTAAACGTTCTCTTACAATAACCGTTCAGGGGTGCGTTTCCCGTACAACGACGTAGTTTACTGTTTCACTACCATAGTATGATGCATCGTTGGAAAAAACAACTAGCTAGTCACGACTATTTCCCGAAACCCACTGTCGCAAAGTATCGTTCAACCATGTTGGTTTCGCACGTGGTGGAGTAATAACTACTTTTAATGAAAATGTTTGAGATCCAATTAACGCTAGATTTTTTATATATAAATTACAGACATGTCATCTGAGGACTATTTCTAATTGTTCTCAGTTATTTTGCTTTATTACCAGCCTCAATATTTGGCTCGTTCTTACATAGTGTAGCGCGTTCGCACATGCGCACTTTTCAAACACGTTACTTCAAATCTCTTGACAAACTAAAAGAAGAAAATTCCATTTGTATGTATTCTAAATAAAAGGCACCGGTTGTACTGAATGTCAGCTTGCTCATTATGCTCAAGATAAGGATTTATTACGTCCAAATGTGTTGCAATATAGAAACGATGCCTCTAACCACAGGTCGAGAGCTGTCGTTCAAACCACACAACTTTGCGATGCGGTTTGCGAATGTTCGTTGGAACGATGGTTTCGTGAAATACTGGGGTGCGTTTCCCGAAAGCATCGTTAGCCAACTATGGTCGCAAGTTCCGTCGTTATCTGCATAGTTCAACGATTCGGTGTTTCCCGAAACCATCGTTCCAACGAACATTCGCAAACAGCATCGCAAAGTTGTGTGGTTTGAACGACAGCTCTCGACCTGTGGTTAGAGGCATCGTTTCAATATTGCAACACATTTGGAGGTAATAAATCCTTATCTTGAGCATAATGAGAAAGCTGACATTCAGTACAACCGCTGCCTTTTATTTAGAATACATACAATTGTAAGTTACGTCTTTTAGTTTGTCAAAAGCTTTAGAGTACCGATTTTGAAGAGTGCGCATGTGCGAACGTGCTCTATGTAAGAACGAGCCAAATATTGAGTCTGGTAATAAAGCAAAATAACTGAGAACAAGTAGAAATAGTCCTCAGATGACATGTCTGTAATTTATATATAAAAAAATCTATAGCGTTAATTGGATCTCAAACAGTTTCATTAAAAGTAGTTATTACTCCACCAGGTGCGAAACCAACGTGGTTGAACGATACTTTGCGACAGTGGGTTTCGGGAAACAGTCATGACTAGAAAATTGGAAAAGTTACATTTTAAGGCCGTTTAAGTATCTTAGTACATGAACTAAAAAATAAATCAATATATCAAATTTAATATACTATATACAGTATAGTATCATTGACAAACTTTTAGAGTTTGTTAAAATTTTGAATTAGGGCTTATTTAATATTTTCTGTTTTCAGTTTAATTGGATTTTAGATTTATTTTGTATTTTTGTCATTTTCATTCATTTAAAAAAGTCAATTCATATCTTTTATTCATTAGTTTTAGTTTATTTAGTTATTTTAGTCCTTCAGCTTAAACTCATTGAAAACGAGAAATCGTAAACTAGCTGAATTAAAACGTCAACGTTTTTAGTTTTAGTTCTTTTTTAATATTTAATCTTTTTAAATGGTTTTAGTTTACAATAACAACCATAATATTAATATCATTTAAATCATGATATATTACAATAATAGGCCTAATAAAATTCAGTGCATCTCATTGGAAAACACAATTTTTTGTTTGTTTTAAGCATAACTAACAACATTTGGAGATTTTTTTTCTTTGCAAACAGGTAAAAAATCTTACAAAATGGGATATTATAAATTATTTAACATATATTCTCTGAAAACATTTTTGCATGTACATTATTTGTATTATTTGTAAAGTAAGTATAGATATTTTAATGTAAAACAAGGGATGTATTGGGTAAAAATTATATATTTTTTGCAGTTCCTTGCACCACAATGCACTTGGCTGCAAAGAGGTTCAAAAAAGGCTTGCATCACCCATCACAGAAAGCCTCAGTGTCCCATAGTGGTTTGTTATAAAACAGAATGCATGCAATGAGGTCAACGCTGCACACTTGCAAAGTGAATTGAAAAGGTGAGAGACTGCGAATGATTTTGCTGCCTTGTTCTAGAAACACACTGCAGACCATATCAAGACAGAGTTATGCTGTGATCTTTACCTCTAACACACACACACACACACGCAGCCGCCTCTCCTCTCCTGCCTATCTGTTGCCACAGCAACGCAGCACTCTCCTTCACATCGCACAGACAGCACATGATCTCTCGCAGAGCACATACACGTCTTTATAAATGCTTCTCACACACTGTAACGCGAGCAGCACACACAGACGCTCAGTGGATGAAGTTTACACTCTCACCTCACAGTTGTGTCCAGTGAAGCCCTGGCTGCAGATGCATGTGTAAGCCCAGAAGTCGGACTGCATCTGTGTGCTCGGACTCTCCTCCATCTCTCCCACCCGGCTGCAGACGCCCCCGTTCAGACACGGTCTGCCCTCGCAGGGGTCCGGGGACACGCTGGGGGCCTCGGTCGATGTCAGAGGGGTCCCGAATCCCCTCCTCACCCCGAGGATGAGGAGCAGAGGAAGTATGAAGAGCTGCATGAGAGCGCTACACAAATGTGTCACCTTTTCCCGTCGCTGGTGTAGAGAGCAGATCAACGGACGTTCTCTGGCGGCTGTGTGTGTGAGAGACAGACAGTTTGCTGGACTGGAGGGTCTGAGGATTGTTTGAGGATGGGAGAAACAGGAACGCGTCCACAGTGACGGCATGCACACGCTCCGCCCCCTCTCTCTCTCTCTCTCAGTGTATTTCTGCTGTGTCAGTGTGTAGATGAAGCTGTGCAACAACAGTCTCATCACTGATAATTTCTCGCTGGATGCAATCATTATTTTCCGATAAATTATTTACATTAAAATACTATACATTGATTTGTCGGTATTACTTTTTGCAATAAGGTTCCAGTTGTTATCATTAGATAATAGTTAAAGGTTGGGAAGGAAATGACACTTATTGTTATAATGGTTGAAACTCTCATCACATTCTGATAGTAGAAGTAAAAGTGGTCTAAATATTAAAGGGGTCATGACTGCCTTTTAAAATTTTATTAGGTCAACTTATGACGTTCGCTTGGTTTTTGCATTCAAAAACATCAAAATGAATAAGTAATCGGCTATTTTGTACCCTAGTTTTGAGCCTAGCTGAAAAACGCTCGGTTTTTATGGGCGTCTCGCACTGAAGACTTGGAAGTAAACGCCCACTGCTGTTGAGTGGATAACAGTTTTGCATATTATAATGAGTTTCGACTCACCCGTCGATGCAATGGGGGAAAATGTTTTGAAAACGTCCAATGTTGTAAAATGGCAACCGGAATGATTCGCCCATACATGTTCGACCCAGAGTCATTCCTGTCAGATCCAATATAGACGGCACAGCACCGTTCTTTACTCTTAATCGGTCTGCAAATCCAGTCTTGTTTACAAAACAATCCTCAGTGAAATGAAGCGAACCGACGGACGATGTTTTACCGCATCAGCTGGAACGTCGTTAAAAATAAAGTTCATCCATGCAGTCCTACTGGAATCCAGAGGAAGCTTATGCAGCGACTGTGTACTTCCACAATATTCTGTATTGCTCGGTGGCTCGATCCAGTTTATCATCACGAGGTAGGCATCTATGTTATTTAGCTATGCGTGTAATGTGCGAATCGGTGGGCGGGGCTAAAGTAGGCGTTGATCTTCTTCTGCGGGGGTGGTGTTTTATCCTCTTTGACGTCATAGTTCCCCACTTTGAAAAACGAGTCGTTTGCTGAGACTGGAGTCAATAAAAGCTTTTATTGAACTAACAAGGACGTTTTCAGTTCTGAAACTTACAGGATATTCTTATAATATGATGACCTCTTAGATGTCAAAAGCTCAAGGAAAATTTGATTTCTCAGTTCATCACCCCTTTAAACACTGTACATATATCTTCAGTGGAACAAAAAGAAAAAAATTCAGTCCGAATGCAATAATAGGATGTCCAACCTGCCTGTCAACATATACATTTCCATACCTCAATTTCGTAGCTCCTACATCACGTCATCAGCGCGTTCAATGAGGCCATAGACAGTGCTGCAAATAAACAGAAGACAATTTTTACAGTTACTCCTGAACCAAAACAACGAGCTTACACAGCGCTCATACCATGTCATTACCGTAATTACGAGACGAAAACCTGTGACATCAGATTTATGCGTTTCTATGGCAACAGCATCAACGCTGAACTAAATCTGCAGCAGTCAGTTGGTGCAAGTCAGAGCTCTGTAAGATGTTCATGTTCATTATTTTAGTAATGTTCAGTGCTTTGAGACATGAGGTCATTTAACGCTGTCTCTCGTGATGCTTTGACTCTGCTGTGAGAGATCATGTGTTTTGGAGGAGGCGTGGCTTTGGAGACGCTCTGAAGGGAGGGTGGGATCTAATGCTTTCAAAGCTAGCTTGCTATTGCTACTATTGCTAGCCCTTCTGAAATTGCTTACCCTACCTTTAACAATGTAGAAAATATGTCTAAAGCATTTAGTAATCTTAGTTAAAGTTATTTCAACATTTGATTTTAATTTCATTAAAAAATTTTCAAAAAGAGGGTTTTTGATTATATAGTGCAGAGTGAGTGAGTGTGTGTGTGTGTGTGTGTGTAAGTTAGGAGAGTTTGAATGTGATAGAGTGTTAGAGACTGCGAGTATTGCTTTGTTTGTATCTGAGGAACTTTGTTGGTGTATTCGACTCTGCCTGTTTTCTGACGCTGATTTTGGACTGGTTTTGTAAATATATTGTGAATATTGAGGATTTGGGAAAGTAGCCTAAGGAGTCTGACGCCCCTTTTGTTTATTGTAAACTGGTTGATCTCTGTTTTTGGTTCGGGATTAAGGTTTATACATTCCTTTCTTTTTTGGCTTACAGGGTTTAGGAAAGAGGTTTTAAAATAAGAAAGATATTTTGGCCGATCAGCTCCTGAATCAAGAGTCCCAAATTAAGACAATACATTCATTATAGTTTCAAATTCATTGCAGTCTTTTATATTGCACCCTTTTCCCTGGATGGGGCGTAACAGATTACAAAGGTTAATAATAACAAATGTATTGCTCACTGTTAGTTGACTTTAATTCATTAAATAATAATTCATTAAATAATGTTATTTAATGGGACCTTATTGTAAAGTGTTACAATTTTGCCTGAATAAATTTAACTAAAATTAAAATCAAATTCTTTAAATTTAGTCATTATAAAATTACGAAAAATGTATATTAATTTTGAGATGACTTTAAACAGTGTTATTCAAAATAAAAATGAGCTCTAAAAATGAGCAAGTACAATTATATTCAATATTGATTGAATGTTGTTATTAGTATTTATATAAGTATTTTGAAAGTTTTGTTTAATTGTAACATTAGTTTAATCAGTAATTTTGTTATGTGCTTTTGTCATTTTTAGTGCTCTCAAATAGATAAATCACATTTAACCTAAAAGTTTGTAAATGTGTGTATGAATACATGCGTGTATGTATATATATACATATATATACAAAGTTTTATGTTGTAATCATGATTAATCGATTTGAAAGCACAAATTTTTTTACATTTCTGTTTAACTCTCATACACATTTATTTTACTTTTAGATCATTTCAGAACTCAAACTCATATTGCAGTTATTTGCGAAGGCAACATTTCTTTTCATTCAAGTTTAAGTTTTCCATCGAATGTAATATTTTATTTAATTTCAGCTTAATTTCAATAAACAAAAACGATGTTTAAATACTTAAAGATTACAGATACTGATGAATCAGAAACATCTCTAATATCAGACAATAAGTGGTTTACACATTCCCAATGAAAGAGCAACCAAAGCCATATATCTTGAGGTCCAGAAACACTAGTATCGCGATAGCAGTGCACTAGAAATGATCTATTTCTCATTTCTATAGGTAAACAACTTAATTAGAAGTCCTCGGCAGAAATGCACCGACCATCCAATAATCTATGCCCTTTCAACAGTACAGTGAATGTCAATTATGAGACCGAAGGACCTTTCCAAACAGCATCCAGGAAAGGACGAACTGTGAGCGTTTAGTTTTTATGGCAGGGCGCTTCTCCTCTTCAACTGCTCCTCCTGCTGGTTACCATGGCAACAACCACACAGCCAGTCCCGCTGCTGTAGCCGGAGACCATCTCAGCAAACTCAGAAACGCCCTTTTATTTATAAACGCTATTAAGAGATATTTCGAGAAATGTCTCATTGCTGTTGTTTTTTTTTTTTTTGTCCATGGTTACCAAAACAGGTTAATAACATTCTTCAAAATATCTTCTATTGGAAGTCACTCTGTGTGAATTGGATCAATTGGATTTACATGAGGGTGAATAAATAATTACAGAATTTTCTTTATTGGCTGAATTAACTAATAATTTACTCACCCCCATGTAGGGTTGGGTATCGTTTGAATTTGAACGATTCTGATTCCGGTTCCGATTCCTTGTTTCGATTCCGGTTCCTAACGATTCTCGATTCCGATTCTTTTAAGAGGCAGGGTCAAAAAAGTTTAGCTAACCTTGCTAACCAACGGTCTTTCTGAAGGAAATACTCCTTCTGTCACAAATTTTGCATTTTGCCGAGATTTCGTTATTTTTTTAGAAAAGTTAAGCCACACTTTGGACCGCCGACATAAGCTACTCATGTTCAACTCGCGCGGTTATGCCAACACTTCCGTTAGACGCTTCTTCATTGGTGTTGTTCAGCGGTTTCTTTTTCCGCTCGGCAGACTGTGAATATCGAAACTAGGAATTGAAATTTTAACTTTTGAACGATTCCGGGAAAAACGAAAAGTTAGTCCCGGTTCCAATCGATACTCGATTCTCGATACCCAACCCTACCCCCATGTCATCCAAAAAGTTCACGTCTTCCTTTCTTCAGTCGAAAAGAAATGAAGGTTTTTGAAGAAAACATTCCAGGATTTTTCACCATATAATAGACTTCAATGGGAACCAATAGGTTGAAGGTCCAAATAGCAGTTTCAGTGGAGGTTCAACAGCTCAACTGAGGAATAAGGGTCTTATTTAGCCAAATGATCGGCCATTTTCAATTTTTTTTAAATGTATATACTTTTTAACCACAAATGCTCACCTTGCACTTGCTCTGCGATGTGCTACACATTACATAATAACGTTGGAAAGGTCACACATGATGTAGGCGGAAGTACCGACCCAGTGTTTACAAAGCGAACGTGCAAAGACTAAGTAAAAAATAAAGTTAAAACAATGATGTCCGACAATTTTGAAGTTGTTGGAGAAAACGAGAAAGTTTTTCGTCCTACCCTTTCTTTTCATGTCACATTGACCTGGAAAAGGTACACTGACCTGTCCAACGTGATTACATCACACGTGAGGTCGTGGACCTGCATCGCAGAACTGTAGCGCAAGACAAGCATTTGTAGTTAAAAAGTATATATTTTTTTAGAAAATGACTGACCTTTTCGCTAGATAAGACCCTTATTCCTCATTTAGCCTGGATGCCAGCCAAACTTAGCCCCGCCCACAACATTCTCGTCGCTTGATAAACGTATTGTTGAGCCATGGGATATTTAAACATTTTCTTCAATGACTTTCTGGGCCGTCAAGTTTCGATCCCTCAGGGTGCTTATGTAGCAGTGATCCACCTCTCAGGTTTAATCAAAAATATCTTCATTTGTGTTCCGAAGACGAACGAAGGTCTTATGGGGTTGGTACAGCATGGGGGTGAGTAATTAATGACTTAATTTTCATTTTTGGGTGAACTATCCCTTTAAGTCCCCGGAACGCATGTTGAATGGGGTCGAAGCTCTTTTGGAGGTTGATTAGCACAGTGTCCAATGCAGGACCCAAAAAATGACTCGAAAAAAGATTCGTTCATTTTGATGAACGAGTTTGAACAGGAGAGTCACGAACGCGCATCACAGAACAGAGCATTTGAGCTTACAAAACTTAAACTTTGTTATTGTTTTTTTTTTAATGAGCAATTGTTTCGCTTGATAAGACCCTTATTTATCGTCTGAAATCGTTTAAAGCCCTTTGAACAGTTTGCACTAAAACTTTCATTTGGACCTTGAACCGTTTGGTTCCCATTGAAGTCCATTATATGGAGAAAAATCCTGGAATGTTTTCATCAAAAACCCTAATTTCTTTTCGACTGAAGAAAGATGACATGGACATCTTGAATGACATGGGGGTGACTAAATTATCAGGACGTTTTAATTCTGGAGTGAACTAGTCCTTTAAGACATGTATTCTAACGTCTGTGCTGATTATGCAGGAGAAACATAGACAACGGCGCCTCCTCCTGGTCACAGATAGCAGGACATCACGATCTGTTCCCATTCGGAGAACATTATAAAAGTATATTAATTACTCCTTCCAACTGAATAGAGAAATGAAACACATGAGCCAAGAGAAAGAGATTTGCATGCTTCAGCAACAGGCTGAAGGCTATTTTGGGGGAGATCGTGACAGATGGGAAGACGGATGGCCTTCACATGCAGCAGTCAGCTGGTTCTTGTGCAGAATATTTTCTTAACGTCAGAAAGATGAGGTAATTTGGCAGCTTCTGGTGGACATCACTAATCATCCAGTTTCTGTGTCCACTCAAAACTATTTCCAAATAACGGCTAAAAATGGCAATTGTAAAAGGCAGAATATGGCACGAACCCCATCCAAACACAACCTCTTTCACAATATATTTTCAAACCCTGTGAGTCACATTATGTGGCGATACTGTGCAAGCGAATGCAGTTGTGTAATTTCGATAAATGTGTTTCCACATGCCTGTCATGATATTATCATGATCATCTTTACTTGTGTGTGAACAGATATCAGCGATCTAACCTCATCAGTGTGGTGTTACATTAAGTGAAAGTATAGTAGATCCTGCATCCAATCCAGCAATAGTACATAGTAAAAATGAGAACAGATATTTGAAAAAAGTGAAGTTTTTTTGTTGTTCATAGGTTTGCTTGCATGTTTGGCTTTTAAAAATTATGTTTTATTTAGCAAACGGTAACTTATTATTATTTTGAGAGAAATGAAAAACATTATTCAGCATGGATATCCATTTCAAATAAATGCTGTTCCTTTGAACTAAATCCTGAATTTTCACAAAAATGTGAAGCAGCACAACTGTTTTCAATTGATAATAATTGATAATAGTTGATAATAATTTTTAATAAGTTTTTTTTTAGCAGTAAATCAGCATATTAGAATGTTTTCTGAAGGGTCACGTGACACTGAAGACTACCTATGAAAATACATCATAGGACTACATTAGCCTACATTATTTAAAATATTTTCAAAAAGAAAACAGTTATTTAAACTTGTAATATTTAATAATATTAGTGCTTTTACTGTATTTTTGATTATATAAACGCAACCCTAAAGCATAAGAGACACTTTCAAAAGCATTTAGAAAAATATCTTGCCAACCCCAAATGTTTAAACACAAGAAATACAGCAACAAAAGCAGCATAAAGTGATTCTTCAAATACCATTTATAATTCAACACTCTCAGAAAAAAGGTGCAAAAGCCGTCACTGGGGCTGTACCTTTCAAAAGGTAAACTTTTGTCCATTTTTGGTGGTAATATGTACATTTAGGTGTTAATATGTACATTTAAGTGTTAATATGTACATTTAGGTGCTGATATGTACATTTTAGGTGCCCATATGTCCATTTCAGGAGCTAATATATCCATTTTAGGTCCTAATATGTACATTTTAGGTGGTAATATGTACATTGTAGGTACTAATCTGTCCAGGTCCTATGTCCTTTTTAGAGGCTAATATGTCCATTTCATGAGCTAATATGTCCATTGTAGGTGGTAATATGTACATTTAGGTAATAATATGTACATTTTAGGTGCTAATATGTCCATTTTAGGTGGTAATATGTACATTTTAGGTACTAATATGTCCATTTTAGGTCCTAATATGTCCATTTTAGGTGGTAATATGTACATTTAGGTGCTAATGTGTACATTTTAGGTGCTAATGTGTACATTTTAGGTGCTAAAATGTACATTTTAGGTGCCCATATGTCCATTTCAGGAGCTAATATGTCCATTTTAGGTGGTAATATGTACATTTTAGGTGGTAATGTACATTGTAGGTACTAATCTGTCCATTTTAGGTCCTAATATGGCCATTTCAGGTGGTAATATGTACATTTTAGGTACTAATATGTCCACTTTAAGTCCTAATATGTACATTTTTGGTGCTAATATGTCCATTTCATGAGCTAATATGTCAATTTTAGGTCCTAATATGTACATTTTAGGTGCTAATATGTACCACTAAGGTACCAATATGCAGCCTTTGGGTACAAAAGTGTATCTTTTGCAAAGGTACAGCCCCAGTGACAGCTTTTGTACCTTCATTTTTCTGAGAGTGATCTAGAGAAAAAAAGCTCCAGAAATATAAAATATTATCATAATTCATGCTACTAGGCCAGCGATTCAAGGTAATAATTAGTAATATCCTGCTGAATCTGCAATGACGAACATCTGCACGCTGAAATCTATGTCAAGCCTGTTTATGTCGAAACTATTCCGGTTTACTTCTGCTATTTTTGTTTTGTGCTGTAAAAAGCTATCGTAAAGCATTTCTGATCAGAAGCGAGGCTGTCTGAATTCTCTTTAGTCTACACACATATAATATCAGGTTGCTTTGGGACCCAGGTTTATTAGTCTGGGGTCTTAAAATGCTACCAAGCCAGTTAAGAAGTGTTTGTTTGGGATTAGTGCGCACTGGCACTCATCTAATCAGTGTAAGTGTAGGGACAAATGCCTGATCTCAAGCTATATATATATATCTAACCCCTCGCAACCTAAATGCAACTTAATACCCAGAGCAGTCCAGATCTGGTGAGGTGGAGACTTTTATCTAATAAAATCGCACGGGGTGAAATGCATGTTTAAGAAAGCCAATTCTGAAGTTATCAGGTAGCACCGGGCCGACATAAGATCCACACTAGCTAGTGAGTGCACACCTGGATCGCGTGCCAGGCCGGATCACACCCTTACGTCACCGGCCCCGCCATACTAATCGACACAGACACTAATCCAGCTCTTCTATAAAGCCTAAAGAGAGAGAGAGAGAGAGAGAGAGAGAGAGAGGGGACAGGAGAGGAGAGGAGTTTAGGATAAAGACAGTAAGGCAATCACAGAGGGACATGACTGCTTGATGTGCTGTGACATTTCAGTGCTCGATTGGACTATCAGCTTGCAGTGTTTTTCCTATTGTGCCTGCCATTAAGCCTAGGGTCGCAGGCCTTCATTGTGCAGGGCGCTCTCAGGCTTCGCGCTGGAAGGACGGTGCCCCCCGATGGGGCCTGTGGAGGGGCAGTGCTGTGGGACCTGCCCCTCTCTGCCCCCGATTATCATCCCAGGCCTGGGCAGCGTGGAGCTCTGCAGCACCCAAGAGGACCACCACCTTCCCACGGACGGGTAGGACACCATACATATTCAGTGTGTGCAAAAAAAAAATTGTGGCAACAGATTACAAGCAATATTATAAATTAAATTTAAGAATAGAATTGAGTAATAATTAATCAAATTAAAAAAAAAGTATAAAAAATATTTTTAAGTCACCATTATGATGATCAGTGTTTGTTTTAAAATGACGGTTTTCTCCTTCAGTGACTCTGCTTGTTAACATCAGATGTCTTCAATGTTGGCAATATAAAATAAAGATAATATAAAATAATTAATCTTTGATGTCTGTTTGTTATTCAGATATTTTGGTTTCATTTTTGGTGCAAACTTTACTCATTTTAACTTAAGGAATAATTTGATTACTCAATTCTAATTTGTTCAATTTAATTAATAATATTGCTTAATCTGTTGCCACAATTTTATTGATTAGATAAAGCATATTAATTTTTACAGTGTGTGTGTTTGTGCAAGACTGAACAGATGGCTTGTGCTGGAAATATGTAATAGGGCGCAAACACTGATGATGGTAATGCCTTTCAGGCCTAAAATGTGGTAGATATACGCTGGATTTATAGATTAATGGCATGTTTGTAAACAGACGATGGTTTAGCTTTTCACTGTAAATTATGTCAGCAATTTTCAAGGGGAAAAAGCCACATTTAATTTGTAATTCAAATGAATATATAACCACGTATACATTTTTACAGTAAAAACAAGTGTAAAAATATGAAAAAATGCGCAGTTTTAAAAATTTCACCCCATAATGCCCGAAATATCATCGGTTTTTCTGGTACATTTCAGGCTACGACAGCTGCCAGATTTTACTGTAAAAAAATTAATAAATTAGGGTTGTCAACAAACGATTAATCGCATCCAAAATAAAAGTTTGTGTTTACATAATATATGTGGGTGCACTGTGTATAATTATTTTATATATATATATATATAAATAGACACACATGCTTGTATATATTTAAAAATATTTTCATGTATATTTATATATAAATCTGTATTTAGATTTATAGATAATTTATATTATATATAAATATAAATATTTTATGTATAAATAATCTTTTTTTCTTAAACATACAAGCATGTGTGTGTATTTATATATGTATATATATACAAAACAATTTACACAGTGCATGTACACACAGTGCACCCACATATTTTATGTAAACTTTTATTTTGGATGCAATTAATCGCTATTAATCGTTTGACAGCTCTAAAATAAATACATGCAATACAATATATATATATATATAAATAATTTTCTTTTGAATATATCTTTTGAAACATCTGCTTGTGTGTACTTTAAAAATGTAGATGTGTTCTTTGAAAAATAGATGTCTTAAGGAAATTGCAAGATGATGCAGTATTTTCTATGCAAATTACAGTGCAAAAGGAAAGAGTGTTCAGCTCTTCTCAGCAATAGATAAGTTTGATTGCATTAAGAGCAAGACATGTTTTTAGGTGAAATGTTTTTGAAGTGGCGTATGCGGTTAGTTACTGTGGATAGACATAGATAAGAGGTGTTAGAACAGGGAACTGAGAACTGTGTACGCGCAAGGGGCTTTAGTCCGAAGATAAGAAGGGGAGGAGTACATTTCGGAGGATGATCTTTTTGTATATAAGCTCTGTAATATGAGAAGACCAGGGTCTTTCTCTTGTCAGACTCTGTGAACTGCCTTTCTTGCAAGAAATAAATACTTACAGGCCTACTTATGACTTTCGAGATCTTCATTTGATCTTGAATTGTTTTTTAAAATCTAGGCAAAGAATTTCCACTTTATCCGGTATACTCACATAAAGCGATGTATACTACTGTATATACCAACTGTTGATTGCTTCTATCATCGCAAAATGTAAACTATATTATCACTCAGCTCTAATCTGCTAAATACGGTAAGGCATGAAGATATTAAAATATACTAAACATGGAAATCATGGTTTTCTGTGAAGCTGCTGATAGGTGGGTTTGGAAAACTGTCTTGGTTCATTCATACGCAAGTGTATTCACTTGAGGAAACAAAATCGACTCCGTTTTTCTGAATTAATGAGTTAATTATCTCAGAATTATGAGATATATTTTTCTTGAAAAAAAAATTTTCACTCTGTTTTTCCTAATTTTTGAGATAATCAAGTCATTAATCAAGTCATAAATCAAGGCAAAAACTTTTTTCCATGAAAAAGGTGCGTAATTCTGAGATAATTAACTCGTTAATTCAGAAAAACAGAGCAAAAACTTTTTTTCCATGAAAAATTATCTCGGAATTCTGAGATAATTAACTCATTAATTCAGAAAAACAGATCAAAAACTTTTTTCCATGAAAAAATTGCGTTATTCTGAGATAATTAACTCGTTAATTCAGAAAAAAAAGATCAAAAACTTTTTTCCATGAAAAATTATCTCGTAATTCTGAGAGAATTAACTTGTTAATTCTGAAAAAGAGTCATTTTTTTCTTCAAGTGAATACAATACACTTCCGTACATTCATGATCACATTTTTACATAATTGTTTTCGCTTTTATTACACAAAACAACTTCAAAATGCTTATAGAGCTTTTGTATTCCCTGAATATCAAAGTGAGCTACAGAAACTAATGATCATTTTTGGGGTGACATTATAATTTTAGTGCTATTTTCTCTGTTTAATCAACCTGCGTTAACCATATTATTGGTTATAGTTACAGTATAAGACTCAATGTGCTAGTTGCTCCAAATGGCCACAAAATGATGAGTGATCATCTATGTTATGGGCGTCAAGGTGTGGTGAAATCCAGCTGCTGAATAAGAGACGCATGTCCTCAATCTGTGAGCTAGCCTGTGGATAGCATGCGTAGCGTCTGCCTCGTGCCGGAGAGAAATCTGTTACGTTAGCTTGTTAATGACTTACCACAGACAGCAGGAGCGGGCAGGATTACACCGCTAACTGCTAGCCAGCTGTCGTCATACAGACATTAGCAGATAAGTGACCTCCAAAGGGTTGTGTGGAAAAATGGTTGTTTCATAAACAGTGAAAGCAGTGATGAAGTTCCTCTTTTGATGAACTGGACTGAAAGAAAACAGGATAATGTTCAGTCAGCTAGTCATTATAACAGAATGAATCCCTTTTAGCTACATTATCCCTATGTCATGTGATCTACTTCTGGTCTAGAAAGATGAAATATTAATGTTAAGTAAATGTACTGATACTTTATCATTTTGATAGAGTGAAGTATTAACTGTAAACAGGTTGTGGCTTTTCAGAGAGAAAGCTGACCTTCATGTTACTATACTTCCCGGTCTCTGATGGCTTAAGCTGACACACACACTCATTTATGATTCAGGTCTTCAGGCTTCCTTAATCCCGGTCAAGCCCCTCTGGGAGAAAATAAACAGATTTGGAACATGAAGGACAAAAAATATTTAAAAATAACATATCCTTTAAACACACAGATCTAATTTCTGTGAAGGATTAATATCTATCTATCTATCTATCTATCTATCTATCTATCTATCTATCTATCTATCTATCTATCTATCTATCTATCTATCTATCTATCTATCTATCTATCTATCTATCTATCTATCTATCTATCTATCTATCTATCTATCTATCTATCTATCTATCTATCTATCTATCTATCTATCTATCTATCTATCTATCTATCTATCTATCTGATAAACCAAAATCGATTTCTAAATCTCATGCTAAGGTTTCGTTGTAAGTTTTGAAGTTATTTATTTTTTTTAAATGAAACTAAGTGAAAGCAGCGATGAACAGAATATGCAAAAGTTAAACCCAGAATCATTGTTTTCCAACTGCATAAACACTCACTAAACGAAAAACTAAACAAAAATTCACTGAACATTGTTTGTAATGGGCCTCCCATCCAATATTATTTTTTTATATGATACATTGTTTCAACTTTAAAAATGTTGTCAATTATATCAGTCATGCAAACAAATAGCCTACCGTTTGGAGATCGCTGAAGTGCTTCAGGTGGGGGACGTGACGTGACCCGATCATAACTTCCGTTTCACTAAAGCACGAAGTAAACATTTTTTTTTTTTTTTTTTTTTTTTAGCACGAAGTAAACATGTAGGCCTATGTTGCAAGGAAAAAAAAATACAATTTACTGAAATGTATCGTGTCTCGTGTAATTGTCCAATCGGTGTTTTTGAACCGTGGAAAGACGTCAATAAATCAACTCACGCCAAAACATTACCTCAGGAAAATTATTAAATATTTAATGAAATCATCACTATGTTAATTTGATTAAATCCATCATGAAATCGTCATGAAAACGTTTAAATGACAGCCACAAATGTTTATATTTCAACAACGAATGAGAAAAACAATTATAATAGGCTATTAAAAAGTTTAAATGTTAAACGTTTTTATTTGAGTGTTCATTAGCCTTAAATAAATAGCTGAATAACTGAATTTAATATTTCGGACTCCTTTGTTAATTTTAACCTTTAATATTATGTCCCAACTGTCCAAAAGGGTTCCTTTTATAGTTTATGGCATTAGTTGAGAGATTGCTTTAAAAATTGACATTTAGTTGGCCTAATTTCGAATTGATGTCAAATCAAGAGTTTGTGAAACTCTGTGGTGGAAATCACTTGTGTGACAGCTGTCATTTTTAAATAGGCTAAAGTATACAAATCATTTCCTCAAAATAAATATTTCCTGTGAAATGAAGCACACAACAGACCCTGGCCTACCCCATAATTTTTTTGTTTTTGAGAGAGAAATTGCCGAATTACACTTTTAAACGCAAGTATTGGGTTAGGGCTAGCCAGTTCTCATCCCAAGGCGTCATATACTGACGCTTTTGATAATGCGTCTACATTCGACACACATGGCACCCTTTAGCGTCAATATGAGACGCAGATAAATATGGGCCAGAAGGCGCCTCCTAGTGGTCTAACCCTAACCCTACCCCAGACCTAAACCTACCCATAACCGAAGCTTGTTAAATTGACGCTACAGGGTGCCATGAGCGTGGGATGTATAGCCTACGCATTGTCAAAAGTGTCACTAGGATGCCCTAGGATGAGAATGCGTTGGGTATTTTGCACCAAGAATCCCTCCGTCACACACAAACGAAGATCTGCTGACTGAACTGTGATAGGCAACATCTTCTAGACTATGACTACAATATATATATATATATATATATTTGTGAGCATTCTGCCCTTTGAGCCGCACTAACAATCGCAGCAGGGTTCGTTTTAATCCATCCAAACATGTGTGAAAGTGATTCAAATGATGACATATCACTAAGATGTTTAGTTTAGTTTATTTTCTTATATAGCACATTTCTACTGCCTCAAGGGCAGCCCAAAGTGCTGTACAATTCCAACAATAAAACCAAACAGAAAGGATACAGAACACAATAACACAAAATTAAAATATTTTGGGTCGGAGGTAAATGCCAAGCTGTAAAAGTGCTTTTTCAGAATAATTTATCTGCTGATCTCAAGATGTGATTATATATAGTTATACTCTTTATTATATACAGAAATGGACCATGGTGAACATATTTAGACAGTTTATGAACCCTGTTTTGTTAACAACACTCAGTCTGACCTTTCGCGGCCTTCAAAGGATGGAGCCTCTGGCACAGTGATTGACTTCAGCACAACTCTTGAAATTCAATTAGGCCTACATCAAGGCTTTAATGTGATTGGTTAACAAGGTGCACATGATCCCTGCTGTCGCCAAATAATAGTACCATCTCTGTTAGAAAGTGTGTGGGAGCTGCTGGATTCTGACCCTCCAGAACCAGGACTGGACTTCACACTGAGGAGCGTGTAGTTATAATATGCATCTATCATTAAATGTCTGGGTCAGGGACATGAACATCTTTTCATAGTCTTTTAAAATAGCAACCATGAACAATGAAGGCCTGGAAAATCTTTAAAAGATATGATAAAACGTTTGTTTTCATAAAAATCAACCACAAAGAGGTCACGACACCAAAGTTGAAGAAACACCTACACATTTACTTGCATAACTATTTTAGAGAAGCTGATAAACTACAGATAATGTTCTGATAGTCACTGAAAAATGATCATGTCCTTCCTACTAACATGATTTGGCCGTTTAGAATGGCATACTATGTTTTTATGCAGAACACAGGTTAGAAATGCCCCACATGCACTGAATACCCAGACGACCCAAGGTTTCAGCATGGTCCAGTTAGTCCCATAATCTCAACATCTGGCTGCAAAAAGCATTGTTTTTTTTAATGCAGTGAAAGACTTTTTGGATAAAAGCATTTGACATTTTTTTTCCTATTCAGCACATCAGAGTATATTGAAAAACAATATTTGAGAATGTCATACTTTTTTTTTTTTTGATTGCGATTAAATACTCACTGCACAGAATATATATCCCACAATTCAATACTCTCAACTTGGCATTCCATTTCTAGTGTGTGACAACAAATCAACCACCATTAATAACAGCCGTGATCTTATCTTGATTTGTTTGAAATGCAGCAAAGCATTTTTAAAAGCAAAATAACGGTATCTATTTCCAAGACTGACTGGATGCCACTCACCATCAACATAATCATGTGACATGCAGCAATATCACTGTTCTGTATGTTGTTATACAAACTATATAAAAAGAATAGTGCATTACGCACAGTGTTCTGTAAGCAGTGGTGATGACCCATAATGCAATGCTCTTATCCAATCTGCTGCTAATGAAAAATGACTATATGAGAACATAATCCATTTTGATATAATCGGTCACTGGCTGTCTGTTATAACCATTGTAATCCGGGCGTTCAGCAGGGGTTTGAGAGTGGAGCGATTAGTCACAGGTCACCTGGGAGCAACTGCGATTAGCAAATCCTACAGGCCACACCAACAGGCCGCCTTCTTAGAATTATTTTTTAATTCACGTCCAATCTTTAATCAAAACATCCAATATCTTCTCTGAGGATGAGGGCGAGGCAACCTGTCACTCACATGAGATCCACCAATAGCAAACCACAACCATGCAATCAAGTCCCAATGGACAAAATCAAGTCCTGCCCTCCATTTTTTATTGCTCGAGAAGCCGTTTCACTCGAATAGGGAGAAAAGACTATAGCAATTCCGTTGCATGCCAATATAACACAGGCAAGGGTGATATTTAGACATATATTCATACAACAGTTGATAAACAAGACACCATGTTGCCATTTAGCAATCCGCCAACAGCAATCATTCCAAACAAAGTCAAAGCCATAATTAAAGTGGGGGTGTTTCGTTCCTGAATGAATCTGCTTTATTGAATGAATCAGTTCAGTAAATCATGAATACTCACTCATAAAGACTGTGGCTGAATTCTGAATAGCACACTACTCATATTTACACCAGATATAGTACTAGCAACTGTAAGAAATGCATGTTATATACTATTCCGAATTCAGGCCTTTATTGTTCTCGAACGAATCAGTGTTTTTGAAAGTATTGGTTGAATCAATGAGTTATAAAGACAGGCAGTTGCCACCACCTTTCTGGCGTGACGATAACCTACAGAAAAAGTCCAAACTTGCATACTTTTGTAGCTGCTAATTCAGCACATCATTAATGGACAAGCAGACTGATTCAGACAGTCACAGTCCTAATGGGTATAGTATACTAAAGAGCAAGTAAGAAGTAGCTGTTACTGTTTTGCTGCTATTCCAAACTTTTACATTTCTTTTCCATATTCCGTGATGTCACTATAACAGAGGGATGGGGTACCCAGAAGCCCAGGCCATGGATGAGTTTCCAGTACAGAGAAAAGGGGACCGACTGCCCTTTCAGGTATCAACCCATCTGTCATCCTTTTATCTTTTCTATTAAGTTTCAATGTATAATATTCATTTACTTCTAATATTTTAGCCAACATTTAAAGTATTTAATATTGTATTTAATATGATATATCCATTTTTTATATTTAAAAGTCACACATGTTCAACACTTTAGGGCACAAATCAATAAAAAAAGCCACCAACGGATGCTGGTTGAGACATTTGTAGCCTATACTAAAGTCACCTAGTCCTGTAAAGTATATTTACCTTTGGTGACTCAGCCTAGAATTTAGCAATCTCTTTTTTGCTCTTCTGCTTTTTACTTGAGTTTAGCTATTTCTAATTCAGTTGAAAGTTCATTGGTTTCTTCCACATGTGAACTGTCCAGTGGCAAATGGATTAAGAAATGCAACGGGTCAGTTCTTTTTAAGCCTGGTGCTCACTGTACGTTGTAAAATTCTTGATATCAGGAATTTCATTTCCACCTGCATTCATGCTAATTCTTGATATCAACAATTATTACATCACTCGCAGAAATACAAATTCTTAATATCAAGAATTAAATTTCAACTGGTAAAAATGACACAGGCCAGACTATCTATTTGTGCAAACAATAAGGGGAAAACTGTTTGGAAACTGTTTTGCAGTTCCAGTTCATCACTGTAAAAAAAATTGATGGTTTAACTTAAAAAAGTAAGTAAGCTGGGTTGCTTTAAAATTTTAAGTTGATTGAACTGGAAAGAGTGAGTTAATACAATGAAGGAGATTAATTTAACCATCAGAAACTCAAAATTATATGTTATCTGAACTAAATAAATCATTTAAGTTGATTTTACAAAAGAAAAAAATGTTGTGATTACTACACTGTAAAACGTTTTTGTTGGTTTAACTTAAAAAAGTAAGTAACCTGGGTTGCCTTAAAATTTGAATTTGATTGAACTGGAAAAAGTGAGTTAATATAATGAAGGAGATTAATTTAACCATCAGAAACTTAAAATAATAAGTTATCTCTACTAAATAAATTATTATAAAGTTGATTTGCAAAAGAAAAGAAAATATGAAAATATGAAATAAGAAAATATGAAATAAGAAAATAAGAAAATATGAAAATACAAAAGAAAATATGTTGTGATAACAAATCTTGAATATATTTTTTACAGTGTACTAGTTCGCATCAGCTTTAAATCTCATTTGGGAACTTAAAAGCCACATATTGCATCAATAATGTGTTCATCTTGTAGCAATGCTTTACACATTTTGTTTTATTTGATAATAATGGTTCCCTCACTAGTTGTTAAGCAAGAGATCACAAAGAGTGGCCTGAATTTTAACCATGTTCCAAAATTTCACAATGATGTTGAATCACTTTGAGCCAACCATGACCGGCCTGAAGCAACCTCAAACAGGAACCCCCGTTGTGCAAACACCATTCAAGACTAAAGATTTCTCCTTCTTATATTATCCCCTCTCTTTATCCTTTATTTGGCAGATCTTCCCAGATCCAGTAGTAGTTGTGAGCACTGAAGGCACTCTGAGCTGCGAGCCCCAGGGGAAGGAGCGCCTGCCGTCCATCGTGGTGGAGCCTACAGACGTCAGTGAGGTGGAGAGCGGGGAGCTGCGCTGGCCCCCGGAAGACATGGACTTCGATGAAGATGAAGATCTGTTCTTGGAGCAGTGCATCCCACCCGCTAACATCGCCGACTGGGGGGAGGATGAAGAAGAGACCTCTGTCATTGAAAACCCCCAGCAGACCACTTCTCTTTTAGGTACTTACAACAGCCATTCAGAACAAGAACCATTGAGAATGAGGAGTCACGTGCCTATTTGGGCGGGGTTTGAGCCGGTGTTCTGTCGATTTTTGCTGCCTTGTCGAAAAATGCTACCTTACCGCGAATTGATCACAGAATTCCGATTAAAGTCGTATGAAATACAATTCTAATACAATTCTAAGTTATGAGTAGCTACTGTATACTGTAGACTACTGTTTTTATTTTTAAAACGGTGTGAAAAGTAAAAATTATCATAAAATATTCATCTTTGACTTGTCAAAGTACACCTTTTCTTATAGTAACTGAAACTTTCAGTTATTCCTTTTCAGCTGGCTGACCGTACAAATATTCATATGGTAGTAAGCATTTTTTTAAAGGGAAATTATACATTATAACAGGAAAATACCTTTTGTAAAAAAATAATAAAAAAAAAAAAAAAAAAAAACTGTGAGTCTGCACATGCGCATAACCGGTAAGTAGGAAATCTGGATGGGTAGCATGAATTGTCAGAACACCGGTCGGCCATGATGGTAGGAAACGCTATCGGTTACCAGGGGCAACGCATTTAGAACCCATAGACACGACTAAACATTCCAGAGCTCTTAAATTTTCGCGCATTTATTATTTTGGCAGGACAGAGACGGATCTAAGAATACGAGGAAAAAAAGGAAGAAAGTGCAAAACAGCTGTATTTGGAGAAGCAGCATCAATATATTTGTTCGTTTGCACTAATAACAGTATTATTATTTTATTATTACTTATGTTGTCCATGAAACTTATGTTGTCCAAATAGCCTATTTCAGTTCACAATAAATATTGTTAAGCCATATCAAGTTGTTTCAAACATTTATTTCAATGAAATAAAAAAGTAATGAACATAAGGCACTCAAACAAGCACTTTTGCATATGTTCGTTAAGGCACAGCAAAGTAAACAGTGAAAATCGTATACTAAAGGCATCAGCAAACCTACTGTAGTAATCCGGCGTCTCCTCGTTAGATCAGACTTTCCCTGCTGTGTCAATTTCTGTAACCCCAAAAACTTAATTCCGTTGTTCCTATGTTTTCCATATGTATCGTGTGAGTTACTGGAGGAGTTAACGCAGCAGTTACTTCCAGGCATGGTAAAACAGTGCGGTATTGCGAGAAACTCCTCTACTACCGAGCTCACGTAATCAATACTGTTTTGCCGTGGGAATCCAACCAACATGGCGGAGAGGGGAGGGGCTCTGTAAAATGACGTCAACTCCTCATTCTCAATTGAACATGGTAAAACATGTTAAATGGAGCTGAGAAGAAGTAGCCTACTACTATACCTCTACTACTACCGCTACTATTTTATATAATCACTACTTATAATCACTTATAAATCACTTATATAATCAATTATAAACTTATAATCACTACTATATTTGTAGGCCAACCCCGAAGTTAGCATCACCCTGGTTCCTTCGACAAAAACCCAATAGGAATTTCCCACTACCTAAAAAATATCTACTTTTTCAACGCACCCTCTACTGTACTGGCGTGAATCTGCACTTCCTTCAGCCTGAGTTTTATTCATTTCACTTTTGGTGTGAAGGGCCTTTATATTTGCCAAAAATATATATTTTTTGTTATTAAAAAGCAAGCAAAATCCCAGCCCAGGTGAGAAGTAATACAAGAGTGACTCAACACATATACACAACTAATTTCTTTTGGGGGAACTTTTAAAAGTAACTACCCAGAGCATTAAATATAAGCATAATATGAAAAATATTATATTTATATTATAAATGTTAATACATATAAGTAGCCTATTATAAATAAAATATAAGAGAAAAATAATTCATTGTAATACATAAAAATAGCATACAGCTTTCCCTGCAAATGAAAAACCAGTAAACCGGAACAATGATGCCCATGTGACAGGTGTCGTGCCAAGGTACTTACCCCTGAAAGGAAGTGTGTCCCTGGTCGGATTCAGCAGAAGGGATTCAGCATACATATTTTGGCAGGTCTGAAAAAATCTGTATCCCACTAATTTTGTCAGGAAACAAGAAATGTGCTTATGTTCACTGCTGTTATTAGACATAAAGTATTCACAATATAAAACACTTGATGATAGGCCATCACCTGTACAATCGCTTTTTGTGTGTGTTGGGCCACAGTTGGTCCGATTCCGGCTGAAATGCGTTAGTGTTGGCTCACTGTCGGCATCGGTGAACAGATACTGGGCCAGATCCTTGCCACATCTGGGCCGGTGACCCAGCCGACTCTCAGCCAGATCCGTCTTACAGTGCCTGGGCCATTTCAATAAATGGGCTATATGCACGCATAAGTTCCGCATTTGACGCAAGGATGCTCATCCATTTCCGGTTTTGGAGATTAAAGCGGAGGAAAACCGAGGAAAACGGGATTATGGCAGAGTCTTCAAAATGTACTGTCCTCCCGTCTTTGAAACGAAACGTACATTCGTTTAGATGTCATTTTATATATAGTTATGTTTATTTAATATAATTTTAAAAAGAAGCATAAACACAACGAGGGGTGTCTGTTTTATCTGTTTTTGTGATAACGTTTCTTTAGTATAACCATGGAGTATAAAATTCAATATAAATTCTCGGTTTTGCATTGGACTCTACGATCGGCGGAAGTTATCGAGCATCCCTAATGCTTCACCGGAAATACCGCTGTGCATAGAGCCCATAAGAGTACTTTTACAGGGTGTGGGCCACATCTGGGCCGGAGGAAGTTGTTTGAGTCCGTTGTCAGTGTGTTGGGCCAGTTTTGGGCCGGGGACCCAGCCAGAACTGGGTCAGAATTGAAGCAAGGATGAGGCCCAGACAAATTTTGCTATCTGGATGACCAGCCTACTATTTAATTGCAATGCATTATTGAATAATTTGAAGGAGGAGGGGGGATTCAGAAAATGTTTATATCCACAGGCTGTTTGCTGTATGAGTGAACCCAGACAGCAAACTGACAATGAATCAACGTGGAAACGACGTCTCTCATGACATCAAAACAACGTTGATCTGGCATTGTTTTGCTCATCGAATTAAAGTTGAACCAACGTCAGACGCGGCATTCTTCAAAGCTAAATGAAAATCGACGCAATTGGTTTGCTTTCCTAACGTTGATTTCAAGTTGATTTTCCCTTAGTTTTGAAGAATGGCGCGTCTGACGTTGGTTCAACGTTAATTCGATGAGCAAAAAAATGCCAGATCAACGTTGTTTCGATGTCATATTTTCACGTTGATTCAATGTCAGTTTGCTATCTGGGAAACGATATGGTCGTCTTGGTTTTTCAGTAACTTAGACATATTCTCGTGAGAATTGATCAATTCAATGCATGAAGTTCGATCATTAGCCTACAGAAGAATAAAAAAAATGTCTATTGATAGATGGGCCACGCGATAGCTGTCTTTGCTAAACCTCGATGATAAAACAACAATAGTAAAACGATAACTTACACAATTCACGTGCTGTAGTTTTATTTAACTTGGTCAAAGCAATGCGAGCATGCTCATAACGACGCTAAAAAACGTTAGCCGCTAGCGTGACAATGGGTGTTTTGATGCAACACCAAGAGTTTTTAACTTCTTCAAGAACAGCACAATCACAGAGGGTTACTCAATACTGCAATGCTCGTTTTCATTTCCTTTTAAATGAGAGAATTGGCTTGTGTATATTTGTTGTAGGTTTGTTTCATCTCCGTCTATCTGTCTGTCTGCAGATCTTCAGACGGATGACTTTAGGGACGACACCCCAACTCTTCCTCCAGAGAGTTCTTCGGCTCTGAACTGATGGACCCGTCCTGTTCTCAGGCTCGTGACATGTTGAACCTGTGCTGCCACGTCTCATGTAAATGAGGACGCTTTCCTGAGCACCAGCTTACAGAGGAACTAATTGGACCATGCGACTCTGAATGTGGTCTGACTGTGGTCGCACACTAACACAACATAACTGACACTAGGAAAGAGAGCGACGGCAACTTGTGAAGACTGTAGTCATCGTGCGAATATATATTGTACATAAAATAGTAACTCATTAAGTCATCATAGGTTAATTTACTGCTTATCAGTTCTTTTCCCACTTTAGGAACGTGTCTCCACAGTTGTGTCTTTTTAATAGCTTCGGTGTGTTTAAATCAGTCAGCATTTTCACATTCCCCTTTTTCACGCAGATCTGGAAAAATGCCGTGAAAGAGGAAGAAACATTTTTGTGATGTTACTCACTCAAATCATATTTGGCTGATGGTCATGGTATGGAGAAGTTGGAAAATGTTGAAATGGATTGTTTCTTTCAATGGTTTGAAAGAAAATATTTATTTTGCATCGGATTCGTGTCTGTCCCCCTTTTCTTTTCCCCATGTCAGTTTTTGTGTTGATGTATTTCATGTCTGTACTGTATAAAGCGCTAAATAAAGGTGACTTAACTGTCCAAACTATTTTAACCATCAGGAGCACCTCTGAACAGAAAAACATCTTCAAAAAGTGCAGTGTGTATGTTTTATACCAAACTGAAAACACAACAGATGTACTTTGTGTAATGTTTTCCAAAGCAACTTTGTAAAGCAATATGTACACTGTAAAAATGAATATGCTTTATCTAATCAATAAAATTGTGGCAACAGATTACAAGCAATATTATTAATTAAATTAAACAAGTAATACTTAACCTTAAACGTTAACCATTTAAAATGAGTAAAGTGTACACCAAAAAATGTAAGCAAAATATCCGAATAACAGACAGACGTCAAAGATTAATTATTTTTTATTATCTTTATTTTATATTGCCAACATTGAAGATATCTGATGTTAACAAACAGAATGACTGAAGGAGAAAACCGTAATTTTAAAACAAACACTGATCACCATAATGGTGACTTAAATTGACTTTTTATACATTTTTAATTTGATTAATTATTACTCAATTCTATTCTAAAAATGTAATTAATAATATTGCTTGTAATCTGTTACCACAATTTTTTTTTGATTAGATAAAGCGCATTCATTTTTACAGTGTATACAATGTTTTCCCTCAAATGGTTGAGATCATTTTAATAAAATACATCGGTGCCACTACTGAAAATAATTTTGTAGTTATCTCTACAAATTCTGTCCAATCACACACAATACAATAATAATAAAACAAATTATTTCGTCCATTAAACTGTTTAGCCACCGCCTGTTTTAAACATCATGTAAAAAGTGCTTACACAACAACGCTGCTAAGGAAAAGGCTTGGTTCACAACAGCTTGCAATCATTTCCTGGCTATAAGGGACAAGACAAGACAAACTGAATCACATTTGCTGTTGCAGATCTGCACAACTTCACAGGTATTCATTTTGATTGGTGTTTTTTAGCATGATTAGAGCTGAAAGTATTTTGTGGACAAAGTATTATGGTAACAAAGTAATATTGCAAGGTTTGAGATTGATTAAAGGGATGTTTCACTTTGAAATTAATTGTTGATATGTTTTAGCTTACCTCAAGGGCATCCAAGATGTAAGTGTCTTTGTTTCCGCAGTATTTTCAATTTTGACATTTTTTGTCAAACCGTTCATGTCTATCAGTCATATAATGCAGGTTTAGGGGGTCCACCCTGGGTTCACCTCAAAGAGCATGCTCAGAGAAGTCCAAATGAAACATGATTTAATGACTCGTAAATGTAAAGACACAAAACGAGTGGTTTGTGTGAGAAAATTAACAATATTTATATCGTTTTTACCTCTTGTAACACAGCCATGTCCAACTGATCTGAAGGCATGGGCGCTTCGGTTTGTGCAGGTGCCGGAAAGCGGTGGAAGAGATCTCTCGCGTGTGTACGTCATTCATTGTTTACACCGAGATTTCGGAAGTTTTACCTTTCTCTGTGAAGATCTAAACATATTTAGATATACAGGAAATCGCAATGGAAGACGATTTCAATATATCTAAATATGTTTAGTGATATATATAAATATAATAAATAAAAAAATTATATAAATATAATAAATTATATAAATATAATAAATTAAACTTCCGAAATCTCTGTGTAAACAATGAGTGACGTACTGATCACTTCCGGCACATGCACAGACCGAAGCGCCCGTGCCTTCAGATCAGTTGGACGTGGCTGTGGTTAAACAAGGTAAAAACTATATAAACACTGTTCGGTTTATCACACAAACCGCTCGTTTCGTGTCTTAGGCCATCAATGTGTACTTACATTTACAAGTCATTAAATCATGTTTAATTTGGACTTCTCTGAGCATGCTCTTTGGGTGGACCCCCTAAACCTGCATTATATGACTGATAGACAACAACGGTTTGACCGAAAAATATCAAAAATTTAAAATATTGCGGAAACAAAGACACCTACATCTTGGATGCCCTTGAGGTAAGCTAAAACATATCAAAAATTAATATAGCATGATATGTCTATTGTATAACCTGGATTTTATTTCTCTCTTTCTTATTTCACAGCTGAAATGGATGATCTTTATTTTGAGTTTTCTGACTTTTATGATGATAACGGAAGTTACCTTTGCAATGACACTGAAAACTGCACCGATACTGCGTTCCCCTCGGAGATGTCCCTGTCCGAGATCGGTTCCAGGCACTGGTTCGCTCTGGTCTGCTACAGCGTTGTGTTCCTGTTGGGCGTCCCTGGGAACGGTCTGGTGGTGTGGGTGACCGCGTTCAGAATGCCGAACTCTGTGAACGCGCAGTGGTTTTTAAACCTGGCCATTGCGGATCTGCTGTGCTGCTTGTCGTTGCCTCTCCTCATGGTCCCGCTCGCCCAGGACCAACACTGGCCTTTTGGCGATTTGGCTTGCAAAATACTCAAAGGTCTGTTCTACACGATGATGTACTGCAGCGTTCTGCTCCTGGTTGTGATCAGCTTGGACCGTTTCCTACTGGTGACCAAACCGGTGTGGTGCCAGAACCACAGGCATCCGAGGCAGGCCCGGGCCGTCTGTTTCGTCGTCTGGATTCTCGCTCTCCTTGGAGGTTCTCCTCAATTTGCTTTGATGGAGGCATATGAAGTGGGCGGGACTAAAATATTGTGCGATAGCTTCCACAGTAGCTTAAGTCACGCATGGGCCGTATTCCTTACACGCAGTTTTCTGTCTTTTCTGCTGCCTTTCCTGATCATCTGCGCCAGCCATTGGAAGGTTTACCACATGACGAGCTCCGGGAGACAGAGAGGCAGCGACAAGTCGGCCCGCACGCTGCGCGTCATCCTGGCGTTGGTGCTCAGCTTCTTCCTATGCTGGTTTCCCCTTCAGATCGTGGATCTTCTGGAGTTGGCGACGTACGGACAGTTAGAAAGCCAACGCCTTGAAGCCAACCTGCGTCTGGCCCATGTGCTGGCGGTCTGTTTGGGTTACGTGAACAGCTGCCTGAACCCGCTGCTCTACGTGTGCCTCGGCCGCGGCTTCAAGGACAGTCTGATTAGCTCTCTGAGGAGTGTGCTCCACTTCGCATCCGAGGCTCCGGCCAGTCGAATCAGCATGACCGCAAACAGTAAGTCCACCACAGACGGCGTGCTCAGAGAGAAGCCGGTATGAAATCACAAGTGCATCTATAAACCCTGGTCTTCAAATACTGCCTGCCGGAATCATTTCTAGACTTATTTATTTCTATTTGTCCAACTACACATGCTACACAACAAAGATGTACAACATTGGTAACCAAATCAGTCTATTATGTTAAAGGAGCAGTTCACTTTAAAAAAAAACTTTTGCTGATAATTTACTCACCCCCATGTCATCCAAGATGTCCACGTCTTTCTTTCTTCAGTCGAAAAGAAATTAAGGTTTTTGATGAAAACATTCCAGGATTTTTCCCCATATAATGGACTTCAATGGGAACCAAACGATTCAAGGTCCAAAAGACAGTTTCAGTGCAAACTGGGCTTTAAACGATTTCAGACGATGAATAAGGGTCTTATCAAGCGAAACGATTGCTCATTTAAAAAAAAATTAAATAAAGTTCAAGTTTTATAAAGCTCAAATGGTCGCTTTGCTCTGTTCTGTGATGCACGTTTGTGACTCTCCTGTTCGAACTCGTTTGTCAAAATGAACGAATCTTTTTTTGTGTAATTTCAACGAACGAAATAAACGAGTTGACTCTGGAAAAGATTCATTCAGTCTGACAAACGAGTTCGAAAACAGGAGAGTCACGAACGCTCATCACAGAACAGAGCAAGGCGAATATTGAGCTTATAAAACTTAAACTTTGGTATTTTTTTTTAAATGAGCGATCGTTTCACTTATAATAAGCCATATAAGTCACTTATAATATGGCTCTGATTGGTTAACACCTGGATGGCATTTCTGTCTTGTGTTTAAAGTCGGAATGAAACAAAAATGCAATCTTCTTCCATATTGTGAAATATATTCAAGGTAATCGGCTTCTGGGAAGAGTGTGGGTTTGCTATTGGTGGATCTCATGTGAGTGACAGGTTGCCCCGCCCTCACGCCGGTCATTAGACAAGACATTAGACAAGATGGCGTTGTAAAAGGGAGGGCAAGTGAATAAAGATTAAGTTGCTCATGAACTAAATAAATATCGTAGTTAATTTATTATTATTATAATTATTTTGTTACTTAGTAATTACACTGTAGCCTAATATTAGGCTAAATAAAAAACAAGAATATTTGATTTCTTGGTGACTCATTTAAAACTTTTAAAATGTCCTTGCATTCATCAAAACTATATCGTGTAGCATATAAAAAGCCATTTCCCCTGACACAACTGAAATGTGGTGCTCTGTGTGTTAAATGAAAATGGAATTATTGAAATATTTTTTGTGTAAAATTTTGTCTGCTTTTACAAAATTGTGTGGTCAATGTACATATCCTAAAAACATAATACAATAAAATAAAATAAAAAACATATCAAAGGCAGCCTACACACATAACTTTGTAGGTGTTTTATATATTAGCTTGAGAAGCTGAACTTACCAGGAGTGTTTTTTTCCTTCACAAATGCTGTTCATGAGCTTGACTAACCAGTAGAGGCCATAAGAGTGAATATTTAAACTGTCAGCTGATAGGACTGTGATTCACAACCATCACAAACATTAGAGATTTGTGGCTTTTGGTGTATGTGGTTTAGCTTTAAGGCCACATGTTAGAGTACTGCTTTTTTATTTACTTCTAGAAAACATGGAAGCAAATATATTAATGTCTCATTGCATTTTTTGCAGATTTGTTATCAAATCAAATTCTTTCTAGAATAAGAATATCCCTCCCACTCACTTCACATGCAGCTGATTACAAAAAGTTTCTGCTGAAACTTTAAATAAGACAAAAATTACCATAGAAAAAAAAAAAAAAAGCAAAATTCATACTCTACAAGGTAAAGCATATTAGCATCCTGTATATGATCTAATAAAGTGAAAGTTAAAACATCAATGCTATTTAGTGATGTGGGGGTACTTCTGGGAAAAAGGTAAAGAAAGTGATTCAGAAAGCCTTTGCTAAAACATTTCAGAACCGATATTTTGTCTGGATATGCAGCGTTTCTAACTGCACGACTATAGGCAGCTAAATATAACAGCACTCCATGGCAACTGAGAACAATACAGAATGTTGAGCAATGAACATGATTCATATCTCTTATAACCTGTTTGTTGTGTATTGTATGAGGTGTATTGCAGAGTTTTCAGTGACTTGTATATGTATTTTACTGTTCATCAAAAGTACAATAATATATATATATAATCTAATTTTGTATGCATAGTGTTCAACCATGTCTGTATACATATTGAAAATATGAAATAAAGATTAAGTTTTGAACACCCATCTAGAGATGATTTTGTTATTTCTTCTATGCATTTATAGAACTAGGCAGGGCCCTATATGACTCTGAGATAATTCATCTATCAAGTCCTATGTCGCTGACGTAAAAAACTTCAAATCATACCCATGGACGAGTTTGAGATCATGGCTGATAAATAAATAAAAGTTTATTAACAACATGCAATGAGCAGGAACATTTTCAAAGACTACATACAAATCTTGAAAATACACTGCAGGCATGAGATCAAAGATGCATGGTGAGCTATTATATTTAGGCAAGGCATATTTTAGTACACTCCACACTGGAGTGTATTTCCACTGTACCGCACAGGTAAAGGGAGTTTGTCTATGTAGCAGCAAGAACATGAAATATTCCAGTCCTCCAATGCACTAGGTGGCGCCAATAACGAAGCTATGTGTTATCAAACTTCATAAAGTATAAATACTAATTAGTTACTATAAATGTCGAAAAACCTGCAGTACACTACAAATGCGTATTAACAAACATGCTTCAAAATCTGTATCAAGTAAACTTCATTCTCATACTGTGCAAACTAAAAACAACACCTGGGACATGGCAGGCAAAGTGGTACGTAGTACTGATAATGATGCCTCCGTAACTCCAGGCACATCCTGCCGTGTGTGTGTGTGAGATGAGCTGTGAAAATTGCCCTCTTTAAAATGCTAAACTAATGAGAATCAATTCCAGGTGAGCGAATATCTCTCTTCATCCTGCAGTTTGTTCTCTGAGTATTTGCTTGTTAAAATATTCCCAGGACAAGTATTTCCATTCTGCATTACACAATGAATCATCATCAGCAATGTAGGATTGAAATGGCTTTACGTCATAATTCTGCCCCTTTACAGTTTGAGACCAGGCTTGATCCAGTTTAGATCTCTCATTTCTAGACTTGTAGTCAAGACCGCCTGAACCGAGACCAAGACACAACCAAGACCAGAGCGTATCGAGACCAAGACAAGACCAAGACTAAGACCATCAAGGCCGTGACAAGACCGAGACCATGTAAAAGTGGTCTCGAGACCATGTAAAAGTGGTCTCGAGACCAAGACCAAGACCATCAAGGCCGTGACAAGACCGAGACCATGTAAAAGACCAGTCTCGAGACATCCATCACTACTCATCTCTCCTCTATTCTCCTGCCTCTATTTCACTGTCTTGTCAATAATCAATAACAAAATAACTTAAAATTTTAAGTAGGGGGAAAGCTAAAATATATAGCTATGGTAATGAAAGAAAGCATTAAGGGCATGCCAGAGAAGCTGAGGGAAGTGATTTACAAACATTACAGACTTATGGTCTTTTTAGAGGGATAGCGTACCACAAAATGATCATCTGATATAATCTCTTAATGGGTTTGGTGTGCTTTGTGGGTTTGCTTTGTATCTTGTGGTTGCGTGTCATCAAATCTTTTATTAACAAGAAGAAAGATACAAGAATCCCAGAAGTGAAAATCAAGACACAAAATACAAGAAGAAAGAAAGAGGGGACGGACTTCTAAACAAATCTGAATCCGGTCTGGAGTCTGGAGTCCAAACGCTCTGTTGGATCTCAAAAGCAAACTGTGCTAATATACACTCACAGTATGCTGTAGTACTACTGAAAAATCTTGATACTAACCTTATGATCTTCTGAATCGTTAAAATATTGTTGTGAGCACACCGTGAGTTTTTAAAAGTTTGAATGAAAGGTCTGTTGAGTCGGTATTCTCACTTGAAGCTTGGACCCGGAAAGTATTCAATATGCCACGACTTAACAAGCAGATTAAGTGAAGTTTTCAAATGAATTTAGTGGAGAAATAGTCATAGTCAGTCTCATACAGTGGTCATTAGTTTGAGGGAGCCTGAACGAAAACGCATGATCTTCTTTTTGAGCGCATGAGAGGCTTTAATCTTGACCACAGCATTGGAGGGATTCTGTGCGGAAGAGGAGGAGGAGGAAGGGGGCAAACGTGGAGGAAGTTGTTGAGGCCAGACCAGCCCTCCGCTCTCATCTGAGTCGCTGGACACTGAACTGGTCCCTGGAGAGAAAGTCTCACTCAGACTGGAGTCGGAACCATTGGGCGGCGCAGGAGCGACCTGGTCCTGCTCCACAAACTGAACGCTAGTGTGTTTGACTGGTAAATGATTTCCTCTGAGTTCATGCACATCCTCTCTGAATATCCCCTCATCCTCTTCTTGACTGAGATCTGCAGTGGAGCACCAGAGTCGCTGATTGGATGGGTAAAATTCTTCCCTATGATGCCTGCCGATGTCCCGTCCCACAGTGTGAAATTTGTGCTCCGGTTGGGCGGCCCATCCTTGAGAGGCGCAACTGTCCTCGGACCGAGAGCGGCAGGTCGACTTGGTTTGTCTCTCTCCTTGAGTTGTCCACCCTTCCTCTGGAACCCTTCTGGTTAGGGACCGAAGAAGAGCCCACTTTTGAGATGGAATGGGTTGGTGTTGTTCACGGGACTCTGGAGTTGACGACGTAGGTACGCAGGTGTGATTGCAGCAGGTGTGAATGTGTGGTTTCATTGTGGGACGAAGTTTGTTGTAAACCGGTTGATGACAAGGCGAGTCGCTGCTGCTGTCGTAAACATCTTTAACTCCATACTGATCAATTTCTAAGGAGGATTCTGGCTCCTCGCTGCTTAGGGAAGTTGGTCCAATCTGAGCACTGGGAAGGTTCATGTAATATCTGTCTTGGGTCTCGTCGTCATTCCCTTCCTCTGAGAGCGGTGCCCATTCCTGCCATTCCGATGGGTCAAGTGGAAGTTGTGGGTAACCAGGAGGGTAATTGTGTAATTCTTGCCACCGATCGGGCTCAGAGTCGAGTCCTGCTGTAGATCTGAAGTGTCGCCGCTGCAGGAGTCTCAGGATGTACGTCTCCACACGCATAGCCTGCTGGATGTCCTCTTCGGTTGGGCCGTCATCTATCTTCACTGTAGGATCAGCCTGATCATCAGAAGTGAGGCTCATCTCGGCTGTAAGGCTTTCATTCCCATCACCCATTTGATCTGTAACCCACTGAGGGCTTTCTTCGTCTTCTTCTTCTTCATCCTCTATTCCCTCTGCAATACCCTCCAATAGGGGGTATGGGGCAGAAAATGAGCGGGGAAGGCTGGCATGTACTGTGGGCTCCATATGACCCTCCCAGTCCAGCATGTAGGCATCTATCAGCATGTGAAAAATATAAATTATTTAATGAGAAATAAAACTAGTTCTAAACACCAGGGGTTTTCAAATTTTCTGATGCAGAGGACCTCAAGTATGGTGATCCCCTTGCAATCGACTCCCTTCTTTAAAAGCAGCTAGGCCTATGTTTTAGTGTAGACACTTCTATACTGTCTGGGTAAAAGGTAATAATTATATTACCAAGACTACAAGTGGATTTTCATTTAATTTTATTTTCATTTCTGACCTTTCCCCGTCAATTTTCCCTAAGCACCCACCTTGCTGGGTCAATGGGCATCAATTTGAAACCCCTAGTTTAAATCCCAAAACACTCATAGGTCCACAAGTTAATTCATAGTGCTGAGAGTATAGATTAATGCTCTGATATAGAATAAACACAAACTTGGGTGTGAGACGTGATTAAAAGAAACACTCACCCAAAGATCTGGGCCTGTGACAGGAGGCAGTGAGGTTTGGAGAGGAGCAGGAACGCAGTGGAGGAGACAGACTTTCACTTTGCTCATAAAATCCTGAGGGATCAAGATAAGTTGAAATCTTATTTTCAATGTTATCTGCTTTCATTCTATTGTTCACAACATCTGAGTGTAAGTTTTTCCAGCCCGGTCTCATCCCCAAGGCGTCATATAGATTAAGCTTTTGACATTGCGTCTACATCCGATGCACATGGCACCCTTTAGCGTCAATATGAGACGCAAATATATATGGGCCAGAAGGCGCCTCCTAGTGGTCTAACCCTAACACTACCCCAGACCTAAATCAACCCATAACCGAAGCGTGTTATATTGACGCTAAAGGGTGCCATGTACGTTGGATTTAGACGCAATGTCAAAAGCATCACCTATATGACGCCCTAGGATGAGAATGCGTTGGTTTTTCACATGTGTAACCAATACGCCTCACTATTAAAATGACTTTACATGGCAACACATTTCATGACACAAAACCAGCTCATTGCATTCTGCAACTAGGTGTGCACAAGTGTATATCCGTGACCACATTGGAAGTGGTAAATGGTTGGTGTCTTGGATTACTCTTTAGTATTTAAGAAGTTCCAAGCTACAAACATGAAATATGTAAACTCAAGATCAGAGCTTAAGGAACACAAAACAAAATTGTCCATCTCATCTGTTATAACACCAACTATAACAAATACCAGGTTTTTACCAACATTTTTGTGCAGCTGTACATTGTAAAATATATCCACAACGAGTGTGCAATTTTACAGAGCACTTTCTTAGAGTCATGTAGTACCCGAGCTTGATGCGCTGGGAGTTTCCAAATCCTCATCTGTATTCTGCTCACATACGAGTCCTGTATCCACCCTCAACTCACTGAGTTGCTGTTGCAGTGCCAGCATCAGCAGACTGGGGGCACCCTGGAGCCGGTTCTGCCGGGTACAACAGAAAGGTCAATAGTGAGGGAAAGTAAAAATGAATGCATTAGGCAGACACTTTGATCAGTTCATGCATTTCCCGAGAATCAAATCCATAACCTTGACACTGGGAGCGCTCATGCGTTAATGTTTGAACTACAGCAATGTAGTAACCCAATACAAACACAATAACAGACAGATGTTGCTTTTCCACCGCATGGTAAGACTCGGGTCAGCACGACTTGGCCTGGCTCGGCTCGCTTTACTTTGGCTCGGTTTAGTACCCCTTCAAGGTGGATGGGATAATAGACTGATTGTTATTGTTGCGCCGCCACTTCATCTACTGACCACGATATAGTCATTTTTTTTTCAAGTTGCATGCAATGGTTGTTTAAAGCAAGCTGTTGCAATGATACTGAGGTAGCTGTTGCTGACTATTTAAATCTAGAGGTTTTGGTGTCCCGTGTCGCAAATCCAATGACGCTGGAAGTGACGATTCTCATCAACGATCTGCAGAGTTTACATGTCACATTTTAGCATCGGTACGGCTCGATTAGAGGTGGTACTAACCCAGCAAACACAGAACATTCCCCTAATGGTCCCATGAGGTTATATTTTTGGGAAACAAACAATAACGTTATAGGATTGTTCCATTTAGGTTATTTTTAGGTTCCATTTTTATAACATAAGGAGAATGTTCCCTTAACCTTAAGGGAAAGTACTAGGAACGTTCTGGGAACCAAAAACTAACGTTCCCAGAACCTAAATTGGATGGGAAACAAAAAACCAGGTACTAGGTACTGTACCCAGTGGAAACTCCTCCAAAAGTGAGCCGTACCAGGGGAAAAGCGCCAATACAAGCACAAATATATAGGGCAGTTGTAGGGTACATCAGAATAATATAGTGTACTGTATATATGTAGCTCATTTTTTCCCATACTAACCTAATGTATGCCCTAGATTACCATTACTCGTCCTCACACTCGCGGTTAAATCTTAAATAATTTAAAAGGTTCGTTACATTACAGCCCTAAAAACTGGTCTCTTGAATGCATGAAAATAGTAATGATGGGTTGTGCATCTACATTATAATAATCTATTTTTTTTTTTTGCGTGACAGACGGGAGTAAGACGATTTGGAAAGAAAGCTTCAAGCACATGTTTTTGTGTGCATGTCACCAGTGTAGTGTGTGCACCACTGGCAGCAGTTATGTAAGCAAATGGCATATGCACCAATCCCAGAACATCAATAATTTACCAAAGTCAGCACAGATACTGTTGAGTATACTATTTTCTAATCCTGTGGTTCTGGTTTTGTTTCAAGACCTAGCCTCATCCCCCGACAGCTAGATCAAAACACATTGTGGTTGGCACCATGTTGTAAGTGAACCTGTGTTTAATGCAGTCTGGGTCTGGGTTTTATTTTAGTTTTGTCCATGGTTTAGTTTGTCCAGATTTTGTCCATGTATGTTCCACACCTGGCCTGACCTGAGGCCTCACCGCTCAGTGTGTATTTTTGGTTTCTTGTTATATTTCGCTGGCCTATGACGCAAAGGTGGTTAAACTTGGGTCATTATTTTAACCACTTTCAGTTCAGTGTTCTCTCAATTCTCTTTCCCCCCATTATAAAGGGTATAATGATGACAACCAATGTTTGGGTGTAGAGATCCAAGACAGATGTGAGAAATAGTCTGGACAAGCTAATAAAACAAATTTTTCAGTCGACTTTCAACAATTTAGGTTGAGACAGGCTGATGCTCAAGGTTATGTTTGGAATAACTTTGTTTTATATAACATGGAGGCTTACCACAGTAATACAGGACTCGTATGATGGACAATCACAACATGAAATTTTATTTTAAAGAGGAGACATGAGTACGAGTGAAACTTAGGGCGTTTTCACACCTGAAAGTCCGCACCATGGTCCGAACCAAAGTTCATGTTTTGATACATTTTATACTTTCAGAAAGTTTTGGTTTGGTTTCACACTGCAACAATGCGAGCGCACTATAGAACTTTACGTGACGTATTTGCGTCCTGTCGTCATCATCTCTGTGGGCAGCATCTTGACATTGATTGGTTCGGTAAACGTGCGTCTGACGTCTGCGTGTTGTCAATTCGCCGGGTAACTTTGACAAACAGATGCATATCGTTGCAATCATATCGCTATTTTTATGGCATAATTACCTGCAGCACCAACTATACACAAGGCTAGTTCAAATTCGCCGAATGAATTGTGCAAAAATGTTATCGTCGACGGCAGGAAAGGAGGAGAAGACTGCAAGTGGAATTCTCATTATGTCATCAGACCATACTTCAATTAAAAACCTTGTCTCCTCATCTCCCCATGTGCACAGCGGCTCATTTCTCCTACCACCTTCTGTTTTTTCTGCTTTTTGGGAACCACCAGAAATTCCTGTAAAAGGTCTGACAGTCCGAACCATACAGAAATGCTTTCACACTATAAATGAACCAAACCTTTGCTCAGTTTGATCCGGACAGAGACTACACTCTTAGAAGAAATGGTTCTATTTAGAACCAGAAATGGTTCCATCCCCCGCTTCATATATGGAACTCCAAAATGGTTCTATATAGAACCATTTTTTTGGTAAAAGGTTCTATTGGCCAAGTATGGAACCCCAGGGTTCCATAGAACCCAGAGGAACCCTTTGTTTAAGAGTGTATAGAACCTTTTAGGGGTTCCAAATACGTAGCGCTGATAGAACCTTTTAAGGTTCTATATAGAAGCTTTTCTTCTAAGAGTGCACCTCCTTTCGTCGGACCAAATTTCATCTGTTTGGTCCGGACCGTGGTCCGAGGGAGGTTTCACACCTAAAATTTGGATTCGGACCTAACTGAAAAGTCCGAAAGTTCGGACCAAACAAGGTAGGTGTGAAAGGGCCCTTAATTGACATCAGTCAATATCTTGATGTTTGAAATCAAGTAGGATTTGATTTCACAACCAGAACTGGCTTTTTGAAATTCTCATTGGACAATTCATAACACTGTCAGACTCAGAGATTTGCTGATATTTGAGTCAAATGATGGAACACTGCTTTTTATGTTCTTGCAACACACCATTTCCATTGAAGTCAGCAGGTTTGCATCACCGCTTGAATTCACCTGGTCATTCTCATGACAAAAAATAAGACGAATTGAATCGCTCATAAAACCATGGCAACATGGTTTAGCGGCTGAGGTCAAAAGCTCAAGTGCATGAGTATAGAAAGGAAAAAAAGAGGACAAAAACAGAGAGAGAGAGAGAAATCCAGAAATCCATTCAATATGATTTTAGGTCTGTCAGATGTGAACAAGCAACCCCCCCGCCCCCCAATGAAAACATGATCCAGTTTGGATGATTTCAGAGCTAATATCAGCTATTCTCTCTGAAGTCTGACTCAAGCTCGTCATGCTTCCCTTGGAGATCTTTGATTCTGCTCCATGATTAGCTGTCGTGCGACGGATCAGCCGGTTTGGTGTCTCACCCTCCAAGGCCTCACGCATTAAAGCATGCAGAAGGCAGCAGTCTATTTGATTATCACAGAAACAGACAGGACCTGAGGGAGATCAGGCTGCATGTGTATTCTCATTATCCAGATGCCGTGAGCGCCTTGCCTTTAATGTGCCAAAATGGGACACACAACCAGTATCCTACTTCTACACACACACAAACACCACCCTGCCCCCACTATATCAGTATACACACACATCAACATAACAGTCCTGAAGTCCAAACTGCATCACTGCACTAATCAACACATCCACAGCAACTACAGCAGGAAAACTTTGGCCTTGAGGGTTGATCGTGTGTTTGAACAGACGTTGGTTGTACTGTACAAACTAGCTGTAAAGCACAGAGATTATAAAAAAAATGGAATATAAGGATTTCTCACAGTTACTTTGCTAATTATATAATTAGTAATAGGGTGCCTGTGTAATTACATGTTATCCACAGGGCTGAGAGTGCGAGTGTGAGCACAGCACTCCATCCTCGCTTTAGTTGCCCGAGGACTAGAACAAATTGGATTCATTATTTAATTGTAATTAACAGCTGAATTTTGAATCGGTCAGGAAAACAAGAAAGAAAGAAAGAAAGAAAGAAAGAAAGATAGATAGATAGATAGATAGATAGATAGATAGATAGATAGATAGATAGATAGATAGATAGATAGATAGATAGATAGATAGATAGATAGACAGACTCTCTTGCTGACTGAACTGAAGGATGTTTCCGGTGGTCGCTGAAGCGGAGCGCGTGGCCGCTGACAGCTCATTTGGGTGATGCGTCTCGAGCGCACGCGCCCGTCCCGCGAGAGTCTGGCTTATTAATATTCCGCTCCATGCGCCTTTTGTCTGATCCCTCTATGTGGGAGAAACTCTGGGGAAAAGAGAGACCACTGCTTATTTGATTTCTCTCACCGCCTTTTCACCGGCCTTTTATTGAAAACTGAGTTAGAGTGTGCCCGAATCCCCTGCAGGCAGACATACTGATGGACAGGTAATGAAAGCACAGGAGGGACTATGCGCTCAATTAGTTTATGAATTTAACTTTGATAAACACTGCTTCCTCAGCCACTTATGCAGACGAAAAACGCAGTTAAAATAATAATAATAATAGGCTAATAATAATAATAATAATAATAATAATAATAATAATAATATAAATATTAGCCCAACCTGTTTCGAAACGAAATGTATAGACTTTTAAGCCATGACTCTTAATGATAATTAGACCACAACATAACATTTAATATTATATAAATATATTTAAAACAAGAAATAGCTAAATATTTCTAGGGGTAGGAATTGATAAGTCCATACGAAACGAACAATGGATAGTTAAGGACTACACGGCCCGCCCTCTTTTCCATTTGCACATCAATCACAGCTGTCAAAAACATTCACGTGCTGTGAAAAGAAATTGTTTTTATTTATACAGCACAACCTCTACTAAATGGTATTATAGTGGCATATTCGTGTCATAACATCGACAGTTTTCACGTAACACCAAAAAGTGGGCTACATATTTTAAACTAATAAAGGACATTGATAGGCTGGTTTCATTAATTAACTTTTAACATTCATGGACCCATATGATTCCACAAAAAGGCACTTTAAAGTGGCAAAAAATGTTCTTTAAATATTCTTTACGCTACACTAAAGAAAACAATGTTTCTTTCAAGAGCGAAAATGTTACTTGGTGGACAAAAAAAAAAATAAAATAAACAACAAAACATGACCACCACTCGGTCTTTTAAAAAAACTTTTTCCAATACTTTGTGAATATCCACATCTCCATAAAACGATAGAGACCCTCTGGAGGGAATTCCGCGAGGCTGTTTTTTAATCACCTACCAGCTGTAGTCTTAAAGTGAGCTGCTCCTGTTCTCTGCTGCTGCGAGCCGGACCAACATCACCCCAGACCGGGCATCCCGGCTGCGAGTCGCCGAGCGACAGGGCTCCGAGAACCAGACTCTCCTGCCGCTGCTTCAGGATCTCCAGTTCACACAGCCACGCGAAACTGGCCTCCAGACGCTGTTGAGTCCTCCTGTGCTCTTCCATCATCTTCAGAGGAACCCCGGTGTCCACCAGGAGCCTCCTCACCCTTCCCAGCAGAACAAAAGCAATCAATCTTTCAATTTAATCTGCGTCAGCCTGCTTCTGCTACAACTGTGCACGTTTATCACGTCACAAAGAGACACATATCCATCTGGGTTGAGTGTTTTACCCTAATAACACGAGCCTCGGATGCTCATATTCCTGCGGTCGGACAATATTTGGGCATCAGTTTTGAAGCTTTTCCACAAGCATTGCTGTACATTGAGGTGTTCCCTGCTCATTAGAATATTCCGCCCTTCCCGCTCTGATTGGTTGTAAACTCACGGACACCGCCCTCCTGAGGATCTCCCACACTCTCATTGGTCAATCCACAGCTGATTCATTTGCATACCGTCCATGGCTGTCGTCGTGACGGGTTGAATGGATGAATGAATGGACGCCGAGAATATTAATTTGTTTGGTGCGTGTGACCGACCGTCAGGCATGCGTGGATGAGTTAATAAGGATAATGAATGAATACTTGAGATATGGCATATTGTCATCTGCAGGTAGCTGGAGCAAGTCATTTAGGATATTTTGACTTTGATTAAATGAATGTTTATTTTTTGGAATTATATTTACGATTTCTTTAAACAAAACAAAAATCTAGTATGCGTCTGGCTATTACGTAATGAAAGGACTGGGTCCATCGCGTGGCTAGACATGATAATGCACATTCTCTATTGTGTGGAAAATAGTAAGATTCCATTTTAATGAGGTGTTAATTGCTTTGACTCAGCTTCAGGGACACTTCCAAACGCATGATGCAATTTTGTCTGTTGGGATATTAGCATACTTGTTACACTGTGCATTTGAGAAAACAAGTACGATTTAGTAGGGCAGACTGTGAAGCATTCTAGAAACTTCAAGGGGAAACGGGGCATTCATAATAAAACTCATAAGGTATTTTCCCAGTGTTGTTTTATTATTATTATTTGCACTCTGTCTACTTCACATAGAACAGAGAGCCACTGAATCAGAGCTTCTATTTTAAAGAAAAGTTGTTGGAAGAATGGAAAGCTGTGCACAGCACAGTTCTGCTTCCTATATCAGTGAACACTGCACATATTGTCATATACATACAGTGCTTATGGAAACGTACAAACCAGCCTGGTCTAGAGATAAAAATAGTTCAAAAAAAAAAAAAAAAATACAGCAAGTCATTGCTACAGCAGTTAGGTTATGGGATGCCACAGATGGACATCTACAGAAATCAATCAGAACACTTTTTTAAGAAAATAAAACAGTTGATTTGTGAGACAGTTTGTTGCTTGGACACAGTTGTCATGTCATTCAAGGAACTACAGCAACGGTACAGTGGAAATGACATCAGTGGAACGGGTCTAGAGTCTAATGCACCGAGTATGATATGAAAATTCAAAATATAATTTAGAACAATCTTTCTTTAGACTAAATACTTCTCATTCTCTAATAGTGACAACACATTTTTCAGTTGCGAAATGCTAACTCAAATCTTTGGTCAGATACATCATGAGAAGTCGCTGCATATGAGCAAAAAGATCAGGCTGAATGTTAATCATTTTTTTTGCTCTGTTGGAGTCAGTAATGTTTACCCTTGGAGGTTTTAGCAGAAGTGAACGGGCGATTCACAAAGATAAAAACAACTTTCATTTCACATATTAGGCATTCACACACACTTACACACATACAGTACAGTGAACATGATTGTGACAGTCATACATTTGATTTTCACTCAGTTCCAAAATAGCAAACCATGAGCAAACAAACGATTCATCTTTTCTCTCAGAAATCAGAATACACACCCAACAACCTATACAGATGCACTCTAATGCCAAAATAAAAGCTCTTAAAGGTGCAGTGTGTGATTTTCTAGCGGTTCGGTTGCGAGTTGCACTAAGCTCACCCCTCCCTTTCGAAGAAGCTACGGTGGCTCAAACGGGACAAACATATACAGTATTTACCTGAGACAGCAGAGAATAGCCAGAGTAAGCCAAGAGTGTGTAACATTGTCACTGTTTCTGTATATAAACCACATCATGGATAAAGTTTACAAAGCCATAGTCAGGTGAGGATCAAGGGTCTTAATATATAATATAATAATAGTAATCAGCTGATTGTCTCGAAAACGTAACCAGCACATTTCTCCCCATAATACACAGAGGGAGAAGAACCACATGAAGCTATGTAACTATTAGGGATGTGCAAAAATTAATTGTGATTAATTGCATCCAAAATAAAAGTCTGTGTTTACATAATATATTTGTGTGTGCTGTATATAATTATACAAACACATGCATGTATATATTTCAGAAAATGTGTTATTAATATATAAAATATTTATATTTATATAATATAGATTATGTATTTATATATATATATATAGAATTTAAGCGCAAATAATTCTTAAATATATACATGCATGCATAGGTATTTATATATACAAAATAATTCTACACAGCAAACACAAATATATTATGTAAACACAGACTTTTATTTTGGATGCGATTAATCGCAATTAATTTTTGCACAGCCCTAGTAACTATTTATTTTTTCTAACAGGGTAGTAAAAGTTTAGCTGGCTAATATGAGCTGTTACTGTGGTTGAGCTGGTTAAAGCGTAAAGCTTTGTTTAAACTCGACGCGTCCTCATTAGCACAAAGGCGCGCGGCAAAAATGACGTGATTGTAACAATGCGCGCTCCTCCGCATCCCCTAGACACCATTTACTACACACAATAGGCTTTTTTGTCTGATTTTGAAAACTCTTCGTGATCGACTTAAAAATGCGGCCAAGATCGACTTGTCGACCGCGATCGACGGGTTGGTGATTCCAGTAACTACTGTTGTACGGCCAATGACAAGAGTACTAATCAGCTGTCTCAGCACATTTATCCCCACATACTGTAGCAAAGCCATAACACAGCGAGGGAGAAGAACTAAGTTAGATGAAACAATCCCAACTACATATTTTACACCATTGACAAGGGAAAAGTCCCTACTCACGGTGTTTATGGCTAGCTTCTAGCTTTCTGCGGCTTCTCTTTCAAGGTAGTGACGAAACGCGCTCTGTAGCACTGTTTGTTCGCGTTTGGCTACGGTAGAAACATGACGTCACAATATATCGACCTTCATAGAAGGGGGTGCCCGCAGTTAGGTAGATATAAATGTCTAATTCTAAGGTAATAAAAACATTACGGTTCTTTATAGACCACTGGATGTTATATTGCATTTCTGTTAATAGATACTCAAAAATGTTACACATTGCACCTTTAAGATTTATAACTGAGAGAAGATTTTAACAGTGACTAAACCAGAACTGCAACTGCATCAAACATACGCTCTGGAATAAGATGCCGGCTTCAAACACTGCACAGAGCAACACTAAAGATGGATTTGAAAGATCCACAGCAAAAACTCAATCAGATTCCAAAGCGCTGGAGTGTGGCGTAAATGATTCAAATGACATTACTGCTAATGCTTTTCTGGATAAAACGAAACAAAACCAGATCTTACATTCATTCATCAATACAATACCGTGTGGTTTGTAGCTGAAATGTTATCATATGTCCCACCAGCAATGTGCCAGCAAACATATTTACTGTATATCAGGCTTTCTGTCCCACAACGTCTCGACGTAAAGTGCCACATCATGTCGTCTCACATGAGAATTAAATGTTCCCTTTCGTAGTCACTTCGAGTTACGTCAGAAGTGACGGAGATTGGGGGTTTCGCATAGAAAGCCAATCCTCTTCGAGTATTTAAACACGAGCCAATGGCATGCAATGCCTTGGGGCTGCGGAAATTTGCATAGCGTACTCCGCCCTACTCCGTGAGTATAAAAGGAGGAAGTGAACGCAACCGCAGTATGTTTTCGCTTCGGAGCCAAGAGAACCTCTTCACTCCTGAAAGCACTGTTCAAGACTCTTCGAGACGAGCGTCCTCTTCAGTGTTGGTGTGACGGCGGTACCCAGCGAGATTCTGCATCGCCTGCGATCTGAGCAGTGGTCTGCCAGACTTTGCGCTTCTCCCTGGTCGCTTCAGCGCTGAAAGAGTGAATTTCCTCCTCTCATTGAAAGAGCTGCACGCGCACGTCTTTTTAAAGACGGTTCGCCCGTGCTCTTCTGGGTGTGATTGATTTCTGTCGTCATCTGATGGTCACGATCGCTGCTTTGTATGCCTGGGCATTTCAGCATGCAGCAGCAGCGTTCGTGGATGACTCATTTTCCTTCTGTGGGAACATGACCATCTCTACACTGAGGTCGAGACTCAATGATCTCACTTGAGTGAGAGTCCCGGTCCCCCCCGCTCGATCGGTTTCCTCCATAGGGGGCCCGTCGACCCGGGGACCTGGTGATTTACGGTGATGGTGTGGGATAAGCCCCGACGATTCCTCGGGCCACACCTCCCGCCTCAGTGCGAGAGCCAGCGAGCGTTAGTTCGATTCAGTCGGTTGCTTCTTCGGTGGCACCGGCTGCTTCGGGCAGCGCTCCAGATGATGATGCGATGTCGATCACAGCATCACTAGGCGGGCTTGACTCCTCGGGAAGTGAGGATGCGGCCGCGTTGCCTCCCTCGGGAGCGTCAGCGCCGCCGTGTCTGATCCCGCGATGATGGCCGTGCTATCTCGGGCGTCCGTGAGCATCGGGTGGGGGTGGAACTCCGCCCCTCCCGATCTCTCGCGGCTGAATAATTGGTTTTTGGGTAACGCTGCCGCCTTACGGCCACGGCCAACCCCAATTTCCTTTTTTCCCCGAGTTGCATGCGGAACTGACACGCACTAAAAAATAAATAAATAAAAAAAAAAAAAAAAAAGCGTGCTTAGTTCCCCGCCCTTCCTCCCCTCGGCGATGCGGCTGTCTGTGGGTACGCTGGGGCTCCCCCGGTCAACCGGCGGTTGCTCTCAGATGCCCCTCCAAAGCCTATGGGTTCTCGTCGTCTATGGCGGCGCGATTCTGTAGAGCGGCGGGACAGGCAGCCTCCGCCCTGCATATGATGAGCACCTACAAAGCTAGCTGCTCAGGAATGTGCACGAGGAGGTGACGGACCAAGCGAGCTGCGAGCCTGTCGCCTACCTTGTCCTTAAACGGGTCACGGAGGCGGTCGCTCGCTCCCTTGGTCAGGTGATGCCCACCGCTGTGGTCCAGGAGCATCATAATGTTCGGCGGTGCGGTCCAGGACTTTGCCCAGCACTTCTCGACCGCCTAGGAGCAGACGAAGGCGGTTTCTCTGCCCCGACGGCCAGCTGCTGCCTCCAACCAGCCGTCGGCT